TAAGACCAGTGTGGAGCGTGAGTAATTGCCTCGGCCACGATGTGCGGTTCCATCGGTACTACACTCGCAATGGCTCTCAACCACTGGCTCGCCTGAAAGGTGTAAAGCCGGAAGAGTCGCTTCGCAGAAGGACGGATCTCACGTGAGGAATTCAGCAAAGACAACGCAACACTCCACTGGCCTTTTTTAGCATGTAGCATGATGTATTCATATGCCAACGCCTCCCTTTCTATCCTCGATATGTCCTTTGTACTCGACAGTGCTATGACCCGGCAACATTGAAGCGCAACTTCCGGTTGGCTTCTCCCAAGGAAATAACATCGCAATAACACCTGTGGTGTCACAGGCAACACATCTCCTAGATGTGGGCGTTCCCGCACAGCAGCATAAACAACGATGGCAAATTGCACTATGGTTTCAGATACTAAAAGACGCGCGTAAACACTTGACAAATCAGTTGCAGGGTGCCAAACGTCAGCCATGAGACACGGCAGATGACGCCCCGACCCCGAGCACGTGAAACCTTCCTGGATAAAATGCCTCTGCTCCGGTGAAAGCACAGCCCATTGAACATTCATCAGCGCCAAACAGTCGGCCCAATGAACGTTATGCCGGGCAATTGTTTTCCAAATCATTTCCGAATTTCTCTTTGTAGCCAGCGGCGAATTCACCGGCCCATTCGCAGAAGATCGTGCCGCATCAACCGTCTTCTGTAAGAGCTGAAGTGCAGCCCGTCTTGTCAGTTTCTGTCCACTGTGAAAGTACATCTTCCAATGAGATAGAAGATCTTTCCACTGCCACAGCCACAATGTCTGTCGCATTTGATACTTCCGCACACATAAAGACTAATAAGGCAGCACAGAAACAAAGACTGAACCCACAAAAGCAACAAACAAAAACAAAAGCAAAAAAAAAAAAATGAGATGTAGAAAACATGTAACAACTATTAATTAACGAGAGAACATACAGTCATTTCCACCTCCCTTCTATATTTCCCACAACATAAAGTTCACTTTTTTTCCCTTTCACTCTTTAAGTGATAAATTCGTTGGGCTTCCAGCGCCTGATAAATTGGGGATCCGTATATTTCCAACCCCTCACTACTGGATCGGACCAACAAAGCGGCCTTGGATTCTTCTCCCCATGCGGGTGCACGCTGTCTTCATACAGCCACGCCTTTTCCAAAGGTGCCACACGTGTCTTTAATTTACGAACAAAGTGACGATTCACTTCGTCTTTTAAGAACCACCACATCAGCATGCAAGGATCCCGCTCATACATGTCAGTAAGACGAATACGATACTTTCCACCTGGGTAGGCCGTCTGCCAAGTGATGGGCACACGTATCCACTCATCTCCTACCATAACCACGTCTTTGATGTTGACAATTATGACATGATCACCGGATATCATTCCGGGAGTGAAGTCTGGTCGATGTTGGCCCGTGATGTACTGCGCTGCTACGGCCGCCACACGCGGGAGTTGCTCACCCTTGGCGTCAAGAATCCACCAACGCTCCCCCTCCCGACACAGCCATTGCTTGGACATCTCATTGTAAAGAGGAAGCCCCTCAGGATGATGCTTGTGGCGGCGCAGTACACTCTTGAATGGCGCCGCAGCAATTCTGCTCGCCCGATGCATCGTTCTCTTTCAGGACAACTAATGTACTTTCTGTTTCATCCAGAGACAAGAAAATAAAAATAAAAATGCCACACACAAAAACACATGGATTTTCACACAGTGCGTGATTGTCCATAATAAGAAAGCAAGAAAAAAAAAAAGGCAATTTTAACGGACGGGCAGGAGCAGCCCATTCTCAGAAGAACCCCACAAGAGGACATCTCCCCTTGTCGCCATATCTCTATAGCTGTGTCTGAGGTTTTGCCTTTCTGTTTCATGTTTTTTGAATGTTCTTTTCTTCTTGTTTTTTTTTTTTTTTTTTGCTTCCCGCCCACCGTTTCCTTCACATTCCCCTCACTTACACCCACACAAACACACGCCCGCCTCCATTATTTACCTTCGTTTCTTCGTTCTCACTTCATGTCCCAAAACACACTCAGAAGACCAAATTGTCATTTCTCCGCCGGCCCCTTTTCCTCAATTCCTATCATTCACTACAACAGAACAGGAAAAAAAGAGAGCACACATTTACAAGCATATATATATATATATGCTTGCCGGCACCTCGCGCGCCCTGAAGCACATTCACTCATCCTTCATCCTTCTCTTTTCCTTTCTCATCGTAGAGCAAGAAAACAAACAAAACAGAGGTGTCGAGCCCTCATACTAAAGGCGGTTAAAGGAGCAAGAACTATTGATCTGGCCCCTTGTAAAAGCGAACTACTGCAAAAGGGAGGCAAATGCGTTAATAATTTCCTCATTTTGCTTCTTAAAGTAGTCGATATTGGCCTCCTTCCCTTCTGCGGGGTCGCGGAACTTCATCTCCGTGAGTCCATTGTAAATATGCGGTAGCTTCTCACGGATGTAGTTCCACGTGATTTTGTGTTCGCCAGCAGACTCGGCCACAACACGCTGGCCCTCCTCGTAGAAGGTGACAATGTTGCGCAGCATCCAACACGTTTTATAAAGTGGGCAAAACTTGTCGTAAGGAGTAAAGGCGTTTTGCTGGAGGAACTCCTCACGAATGACCTTCGCCGTTTCCAGGATAATTTTGTCTGACTCTGAAAGAGAGTCTTTGCCGACAAGTTGAACGATTTCCTGCAATTCCTCTTCACGTTGCAAAATCTCAGCGACAACCGAGCGCAAACGCATGTAATCAGGGTCAAAGGTATTAAAAAAGGGTTCCAGCACCTTTAAGTACTTCGAGTACGAAATAAGCCAGTTTACTGAGGGGAAGTGCTTACGCTGCGCAAGGCGTTTCTCCAGGCCCCAGAATACCTGCACGATACCAAGTGTGGCGGATGTTACCGGATCCGAAAAATCACCTCCTGGTGGGGAGACAGCACCCACAATAGTGACGGATCCTTCACGTCTGGGACCACCAATGCATGTGACACGACCTGCACGCTCGTAAAAAGAAGCCAAACGGGCACTGAGATATGCAGGATAACCCCCATCAGCAGGCATCTCGGCCAAACGACCAGAAATCTCTCGAAGAGCCTCTGCCCAACGGGAAGTGGAGTCCGCCATCATAGCAATATGTTTTCCCATATCACGATAATATTCGGCGAGGGTAATACCAGTGTAAATAGAGGCCTCACGAGCAGCCACAGGCATGTTAGAAGTATTGGCTACGAGGCATGTCCTTTTCATGATAGATTCTTCACGGCCATCAACAACAGTGGTAAGAGTAGGAAAATCCATTAAAACCTCCGCCATTTCATTACCACGTTCACCACAACCCACGTAAATGACAGCATCGCTGTTTGAATACTTAGAAAGGGCTTGACTAATAACAGTCTTACCACAACCAAATGCACCAGGAATTGCGCATGTGCCACCCTGCACAGAGGGAAAAAGAGCATCCAAAACACGTTGACCAGTAAGAAGGGGATGATTCCCGGACTCCTTCACCGCCACCGGGCGTGGTGTTCGCACAGGCCAACGGTGCATTAGTTTAAGACTTCTCTTCGTACCATTGTGCTCCACCTCCACAATTTCATCCACGAGTGTGTAGTTACCAGAAGGTTGAACGAACGTAACCCTCCCTTGAAAATTGGGAGGCACCATAATGGAGTGATCGTACATGAGCGAATTTTCCACAACGGTTCCAAGAATATCACCACCCGTCACCAAATCCCCAACCCTCACACGAGGCTTAAAGTCCCACATTTTTTGGTCGTTGAGTGCCTTAACCTGAACTCCCTTTGGAATAAATACATTTTCTACCATACGGTAAATTGTCTCAAGTGGACGTTGAATACCATCAAAAATCTCCGACATAATGCCAGGACCAAGCTCAAGAGAAAGCGGCTTTCCCGTACAATAAACCGGATCCCCGACTGTAAGACCACCTGTCTCCTCGTACACTTGTATGGTCGCGGTGTCGCCCTCAAGCCGAATGATTTCTCCCACCAGTCGAAAGGAACCGACCTGAACCAACTCGTACATTGCGCTACCGCTCATGTTTTCCGCAATAACGACCGGGCCAGAGACGGCTTTTACGGATCCCATGCGATGCTCCGCCTCATATGGGTTATGGTCACGCGCCATGCTTCCTCCAATAATCAATCGAATCGCTTAATCCCTTAATATGTCTGTTGACCTCTCGCACCCGCTTTTATGCCTCGCTCGCCCGTCGTTGCTTTGCTAGCCGGTAGCCAATTGACTGGATGCGTAGACACACAAAAATTATATATAAGTATGTATGTATCCTTATACCCTGTTTGCTGTTTCTTTCTTCTTGTTTTGCCGCTTTCCGACGCAGACACAGCGCCGCATGTGCGCGGCACGCAAAAGGCAAAACGTACAAAAAGAAAAAAAAACGAAGAATCATCGCCATCCCACCAACAAAAGAAAAGGCGGTGGTGCGGTGAAACACCCGCATTCGTCACACAAACAAACAAACACACACACACAAAAAAAAAAAGTCAGGTGATTGGGGCCGAACTCACAAAACACACACACAAAAAGAAAACCCACCGCAATCCCCTTTTCTTTTTACCCCCAAACACATACAAACACATACACACAAAACAAAAAAAAAAAAGCGGATGGCTCTGTCTAACTGGCTATAAAATTGCATCAATATCATTCCCAGGCCGAGCATAAAAAAAAAAAAAAAAAAAATTCCTCATTTTCTCTTTGAAAATTAAATATCATCCCGAAAAAATCGGAGGCGCACATCTAGAAGCATACATACATTCGAAGAATAAAAAAAAAAAAACATAGCAAAAAAATTTCAGAGGAGAACGTGCCTACGCATACATAAATACATACGAACAATAATAATAAAAAAAGGTTAACAAAAAAAAAAAAATCCATAACGCAAGCACACACAAGTACAAGCAAAATAATAAATTTATCCCTACAATAGAAAATTAGTCCGCTTTGATTGCGCCATAGATGGTTCGTACAAAGTGGGCAGAGGCAAGAAAACCCAAAGTCCCAAGGGCCACGCATAGAACAACGGAGAGACCCATCATATAGATACAGTACAAAGCCATGGATAGCAGTTGACGTATCTCAAGCGCTGCAAACAAATAGACAATGCTGTAAAGAAAGAAGTAAAATCCACAGCTGCCCGATGTCATAAAACTCACCCACCACCACTCGTAATCTTCTTCAGACAACATCGAGTATGTCACAACCACAGTAACCTCAGCACAAATAACAGCAACGACAAAAAGAATAGCCGTCAGATAGCCAAAGTAGTGAAAAGGTTCCCCATTCCAAAAAGAGCCAAGAATATAGACAACCTCAACAAAAGCTGCAGTAAAAGGGACAAGTCCGCCCCCAAAAACGTAAAGGCAACGCTTATTCACGCTCTTCTCCGACACGATGCGTGGGATGCTGCTT